ATTCAAGGACGGGAGGGTTAGTTCGATGGGTGTTTGCAGTGAAGTGTACCAGCCTGAGTTTGGTCCCCAAACCCACAGAGAGGAAGGAGAGACGCAAGTGTCACAACTTACCCTCTGACCTCTTCACCCAGGCCGTGGCATGTATGTGATGTGCACGCATGAACACACGATAAATAAATAAATGAATGTAATCTTAAAGCATACGAAGAGAAGCCCGGAGGCTGGCCCTGCTCACCTGTGACCACCAGTTGTAAGTGCTGACTCTTTGCTGACCACCTGGGGGATGCTGCTGTCCTGTAGGCACAGAAATAACCCCCGGCATCTTCAGGCTGCAGGTTAGTAAGGTGGAACTCAGCCTCCTTTCCCGCTGATCTCAGCTCTCGCTGGTACCCAGAGTTGTGCAACTTTCCCAGAGTGACTGTCACGTTCTGGAAATGGGTCCGGCATTGGAGAGTGACGTTACTCTTGGGCTTCACCTCAGAGCTGGGCCAGGCACTGATGGAAGGCCTGGGAAGTTCCTCTGCAAAGAATTCAGAGTTAATTGCGTCTTCTGATGGGGGATGCCCTTTTGTATATATATTTCTCTTATTGGTTGATGAATAAAACACTGATTGGCCAGTAGCCAGGCAGGAAGTATAGGCGGGGCTACCAGACAAGGAGAATTCTGGGAAGAGGATGCAGAGAGAGGCTTCCAGGGAGCTGCCATGTAGCTGCTGGAGGAGTAACAGCAGGCCCTGGCATTCTCCGGTAAGCCAGGACTACATGGAGATATTCAGTTTAATAGAAATGGGTTAACAGGGCTGGAGAGATGGCTCAGGGGTTAAGAGCACTGACTGTTCTTCCAGAGGTCCTGAGTTCAATTCCCAGCAACCACATGATGGCTCACAACCATCTGTAATGGCATCTGGAGCCCTCTTCTGGCCTGCACTGTATACATGATAAATAAATGAATCTTTATAAAAAGAAATGGGTTAATAATTAAGAAAGAGCTAGCCAAGTCTGAGCCAGGTGTTGGTGGCACACACCTTAAATCCCAGCACTCGGGAGGCAGAGGCAGGTGGATCTCTGTGAGTTCAAGGCCAGTCTGCTCTACAGAGTGAGTGCCAGGACAGCCTCCAAAGCAATGGAGAAACCCTGTCTGGCCATTGGCTAAACAGTTTATAATTAATATAAGCCTCTGTGTGTTTACTTGGGACTAAATGGCTGCAGGATCAGGCAGGAAGAGAAACTCTGTCTACACTCTTCATCACATTGAACCCCTCCTAGAATTCTAAGGATGGTTAATCTCAATTACAGCTTGATGGAATCTGTAATCACCCCCCCCCCCCGGGAGACAGGCTTTTTACCCATGCTGGTGAGAAGTTATCTTGATTAGTTTAATTGAGATGGGATGAACCATCCACTGTGGGTGGCGCCGACCCCTAGGCTGTGGTCCCGCATTGTGTAAAATGGAGAGGGAGCCTGACAACCTGAGTTTGATTCCTGAGACCCACATTGGTGAAAGGACTCAAATCTTTCTGACCTCCACGCACATATTGTGAGATGTTCACATCCCACAAAACCATATACATAAGTAAATGAAGGATTTTTTTAAAGATTTTATTTATTTATTATGTATACAGTCGTGTGCCTGCATGCCAGCAGAGGGCACCAGATCTCATTCAAGGTGGTTGTGAACCACCATGTGGTTGCTGGGAATTGAACTCAGGACCTCTGGAAGAACAGTCGGTGCTCTTAACTGCTGAGCCATCTCTCCAGCCCCCATGAAGGATTTTTTTAAGGAGAAAGTGAGCCGAGTATAAGGATTCATTGCTTTCTCGTTCTTAAATATCCTTTCTTCGGACTGGTGAGATGGCTCTGTGGCTAAAGGCATTCCAGAAGACACGTGTCAGGTGTCTCACAACTAGCTGTAACTCTAGCCTCTAGGGTGTCTGACACCTCTGGCTTCCAAAGGCACCTGCATTCATGTAAGCAAGCACACATGCATACACGTGATTAAAAACACTTTTAATTGCAGGACTGGAGAGATGGGCATGGTTAAGAGCACTGGCTGCTCTTGTAGAGCACCCAGGTTGGGTTCCAGCATGCACAGAAAGTTAACATTTGCCTCTAACTCCAGTTTCAGGGGATCCAATGCCCTCTTCTGGCCTTTTATGGTACTGCATACACATTCACATAAATGCACAAAACACTCATAGACATAAAATAGTTTTCTAAAAAAAAATTAAAATAAATTTTGGTATGTGTGGGTGTGTATGTGGATATCAGAAGACAATTTTAGGAGTTGATTCTCTCCTTCTACTATGTGGGCTCCAGGTTGCCAATCACTGAGCCAGCTCCCCCACCCACTCTCTTCTTCTTGAATATGGATACAGCGTGACCAGTTGCCTCAAGCTCCGGTTGCTATGACTTCCCCACCAGTGGGGGCTGCAACCTCAAACAGTAAGCCCAAACAAACCATTTCTCCCTTACGTTGCTTTATCGGAATTTATCACAGCAACAGGAAAAGTAGCTACTATAGGGTTAAAAGAGTCCAGTTTCAGAAACCCACCAACCCCTGAGCTCAGAAACCAACCAACCAACACTGAGTTTGGAAAACCACCGAT